ACACCACTCTCAGCCGCGTCTTCAGAGCTCTCTGTCTGCTTCCCTGTCAGCTTCTGCTCTAAATGAAGGGGTGGCGCTTAGCACTTTGTTCCTCAGAAGCAGTGGGAAGAGGAACATCTCTTAGCATAGAGGACCCGTGTCTGGACTCAAGGGCAGGGTCTCCACTTAAACCTGGAACGTATCAAAGTTCTGTCAGATACTAGCCATGCACCTGATTTGGGGTGAGGTCTTCAACCCCCCTACACCTGGATTCCTTAGCTGTGCAGCGGGAGTAATAACAGAATCGAGTTGCTGTGAGCAGGACAGAAACACACAGAGCACCAGAAACAAAGTAAGTGTGCGCTACCAATGGAAGGGGGGCCCCCGCTGCAGCCCTGGGACCCGAGACCACTGGCATCGGGGTTCTGAGTGCAGGGCTACCAGACAGGGGCCGTCTCAGCCCCCGGGGCTGCAGTCTGCGTGCCCCTCCTTCCGCTCAGATCGGTTCCACTTCCACATCTACTGAATTATATGCCTGTATCTCCTGTCATTTCATTTAGAAAGGGAAAGTCAAATATCAGCCTTGGCGTTTATTAGCTGCCTGATATTAGACAAATACTCCTCAACTCTGTGCTTCCATTTATAAATTAGCTGTGCAATGGAGGTCATAAAACTCCCTCTCCATCCACAGCACTGTCGCCAGGAGCCTGAGACACAGCGTGCCACCATTTGCAAAGCTCCGCACCACGAAGCCCCCTCCTCTGCTCCCGTCCCCCTTGGACCAGAGGAGGAACGCCAGGCTGTCCTGGCCCTGCAGCCTGCTGATAGGGGACACGTAGGCGGAACTGAATGTGCCGTGGGAAAATCAGGCGGATCAAGGAGCACTTCAGAGCAGCACAAACAGGCTGAACAATCACTACTCGCAAATCCGCACTAATTGGTCATCATGGAGAGAAGCCCACTCGCCCACCGCGGATTTCCCATAGTTTGTTTTTAATCATGCACCAGTTCCTCGTAACTTTCCTGCTCCCTATTACTCTACCCTTCGGCACTAACAGGTGCCCTAAGGGGCCTGCGGGAGTATTTCTGAGAAGTGCCATTCTGAACAGCTGAGGAAGTGATGTCTCTAAGATGGGCAGGGAGGCTGTCACATGTCTGCCAGGTCCTGTCCCACACACTTCCTGACACAGCGGTGGAGGGCTCCTCTCCTGTCCTCACTCTTCTCTGCTGTCATCCTAAGGGTGGCATGTTAATGGGCTCATGCAACACACGCAGGGGTCCTGGGGCCACTCTTGGGACTTTACACGAGTGGTATAGAGAGAGCTGCCTTACTTATGGCACTGCTGGGTCACAGTGGCAGATTCCTGGCAGATTCCTGGCTGCATGTGTCTGCCTTGAGCCACAATAGTCATTGTGGGCCATTGCAAACTGGTCCAACCACTCTGGAAAGCTATGAGAAGGACCCTCAAACTACCAAAAATGGAGCTACCATGTGACCTAGCAATTCCATTCCTAGGAATCTACATAAAGGACACAAAGATATTAATTGAAAAGGAAACCTGCACTCCCATGTTTGTGGCAGCACTATTTACAACAGTCAAAACATGGAAACAACCCAAATACCCTAAAGTAAATGACTGGATCAAAAAAATGGTCTAGATGCACGGTGGAGTACTATGCTGCCGTCAAAAAGATAAACTCATGCCATTTGCAGAACTAAGAAACACCTTCCTGGTGCCTTTATGACTACTAGGGGCCCAGGTTTGAGTTGATGGCATGGCATTCATTACACAAAAATGTTCGCTGCCAGACATCACAGCAGGCACTAAGGAGACCGGGGTGATGAGCAACAGACATCACCCAGCTTCTGGAGCTAACTGTCCAGGGAAGAGACATCCCTTGGCCAGCGGATGAAGCACAGTGATAGATCTCACCTGAGATGAAGCCACTGACCTGCTAGCCTAGTGCTCCCACACCCCATGGACTGAGGGAGGCCAGAGGGTTTCTCTGAGCAAACAGCACTTAAGTACAAGAACTTGGAATGATTAGCAAGTGGGGAGAGGAAGCAGGCTGGGAATGGAGCTTAACAGGTAGAGGAAGACAGCTCCTGCAGGAGGGAGGGGCAGGTCGGGCTTGGCAAGCTGGTGAGTGGGCCCTGATGTGCCTCCAGACAGTGATGCTGTTAGGAGGGCAGAGAGATGCCAGGCACTAAGAAGTGAGGGCTCCCTCTCAGAAGCACAGGGAGTCATCAGAGCATGGGGAGGCAGGGCTGGGCTTGCTTTCGGGGACACTGACTGATGCTACAAGGGATCTGGGGGCAAGTGAGCAGAGCAGGAAGGAAGAGACAAACCCGGGAAGAGAAGCCCTGTTGCAATGGGAGGACCACAGAGCTTGGATGAGGATGGGACATAACCACAGAGCAGGGGAGAGGGACTTAACCTTGACCGTGGAGTAGTTAGCGACGAGTCGGGAAAGGACCATCACGGATGAAGTCTTGGACCTAGGGAAGCAGCTAACTGGTGGTGCTGTAAGCGAGGAGAGGTTGGGTGAGGGAAGTAGGAAGAGGTTGGTGAGTGGGATCATGTCTAAAATTATAGTTACCATCACCATTGACTGCTTTACAATGCATGTCTGATAAAATGCTTTCATACTCATTGTCCTCACTGGATGCTCAAAGTCTTGTGGGATGCAGGCTTGAGGGAGGTAGGCGTTCAATTGGTTGAAAATTAAATGGGGGTGCTGGGGACCTGACTTGGGGCAGCCAGGAGCTTTTGTTCTGTAGGACAAGACTCTGGAGTCTATATCCTTTGGGACACATCAGATTGTATTATCTTTAATTCTTCTGTTTTAAGCCATGGAGTCTTCAATTCAAATGGCTATAAATCCAACATGTAAATGAAAGAACAAACCTAGAAAAAAGTGAGCAGGAGAATGAACTTAAGTCTGTCCCTCGCCTTCACTCTGCTCATCCAGCCTCATGGAATCCCTAGGGTGCCAGGAACACATGACAACCTATGTGCCTTTTCCTTCAATCTCCATGGATTTCACACCATCACAATCAGGAGCATTTCCTTCCCACATTGCCTTGACTGCAAAAGAAGTAGGACCTTTTCAAGACCCTGCTGAACTTCAGGCACTGCTGGGTCTTCCCCTGAGTCATCCTATTTAATCCCTTCCTGGGGGCTGATCCTGCCCCACCTTCTACCGGCTGAGTGAGTTGAGACTCAGGACTGATACAGAAGCTCTTCAGGAGCAAGCGGGTTATGCGCTTGGGCTTTTCTAAACCACTTTGCCTTTTCCTAAAAAGCAGGCTTGCAAGAGCCACAGCAGAGAACCGCAAAGGAAAGGAGAAGCAGGCACTGGAGACAGAGGCACCCTCAGCCAGATAGGGCCCCTTCCCGCCCCTGCTTTTTCCCCACGGTGTTGGCGCTGAGACCCTGGGAGACAGAGTGTCTTGCTTTCACCTTAATTAGTGCGGCAATTTGCTAAATTTTGTTTTTACCTTTTTAAGAGTGTTAATCAATTTTAGCTCAGGATAGATTGCAATGGCACACAAATTAAGACAGTCTCCAAATGCTAAATCCTAAAGATCTCGATCAACTTCAGAGCCTGAGATACAGGAAGTCAGAAACTCTGGCTGGCCTCTTTCTGATCTATTTAAAGTTTTACGGCCGTGAAATGAAAGATAATGGCTTTATGAGGTTTGGAACAAGACGTTTGCTCCTATCAGCCTCATACCTAGGGCTTTAGTCCTTCCTAAGGTGACTGGTGATAGAACATCAACATGCATCTGTAAAGTTAGATGTTTCTGTAATAATGTAGCAATTGCTCAATCCACAGGCATTACAGCGTGCCAACTATGCACCAGAAATACAGAACGCAGAAAAGCTCTCACCCCCACCCCCTTAAGAAGATTCTAAACTAAAGCAATAGATAGACAAGTTAAGAGAAAATGTCCTCCTCTTTCCTAGAGAGAGGCAATGCCGCTGAGTTTTGAATGATGAGTAGAAATTGTGACAAAGTAGGTGGAAGAGACTGTCAGCTAAAAGCAATAGCATAAGCAAATACTCACACAAGAAGAGAGGACACAGAAAGCCAGAGGCAGTTTTCAGAGCTTAGTAATAGGGCGAGTCTGCAGGAATGACAGGAGATGAGACTGAAAGAAGAGTGAAGCGCCAGACGGTGCAGGACTTCTTAATCAGACTGTGAGCTTCAATCCTGATAGAAGCAGAGTGGCACTACAGAACGACTTAAGCAAGGCAGTAACACGGCCAAGTGGGTCTCAGCTGATGGAAACCTTCTGGCCCAACAGAATTCTTATATTTATTCAACATCGTCTTGTGAAGCACACCCACATCTACTGTTTCATTTGAGCCTCTTAAAGATCCCATGAAGTCAGTGTTATAATCATCTCTCTATCCAACAAAAGTACAGGTTATTTACTTTGTGTCTGATGAGAAAATCATGACAATACAGGAATTCAAACTCAGGCTCACGGAACGCTGAGTCCAGCATTTACATCACAGAGTAACTGGCTTCTCTAGGTAAAAGAATCATAACGCTCTTCTAGGCAGCAGGCAGAAGACTCTAGAATCTAGTAGCCTTGGTGGCCAGAAGTGTAAAGACCAGAAGAAGGGGTTATTTTAGTGCTTGTGTGTGTGTGTATGTGTACACAAAAATAGGGTACAGGCCAGGGGTGCAGGGGGTGAGAGGATTTGCCAGAGACAGAGTGGGGAGCAGAACAGGTACATCTCATGAAGCACACTACTGAGGGGAGCAATGGGAGAGGTCTGCTGCACCATTTGGGTCAGCTCCCTGGCAGGGGATAGAACTCAGGCCATTGTGGTGACAGCACTGAGATTTAACCCCTAAGCCACCAGGGAGGTCCTCAGTGCTTTTGATAATAAAAGCAGATTTCCAGTACATTGCTGAGATTTTTGTCATTGCTGCAGTCTAAGCCACAAATAAGAAAGCCCCCAGCCGTAGGCGACCAGGGAGGTGGTGCCCCTGGCTCATCCTACCTTCAGCTCATCTGCGTTGTAGAAGTCCACACGCACGGCAGGCACCATCCAGGTCTGGAAGAGCGTTGCCAGGATCTGCTCGGCAATGGAGTCAGCGATGAGGTGGAAGTGCAGAGGGTTGCGCCTGTGAGAAGTGAGAGGAAATGGAATCAGGGGGAAACTGAGGCCTTGGCATCCAGCCACAGAAACGCAGCGGGAGCAGTTTGTAATGCACGGGCAGGTTTATCAGCAACTGTGACAGGGAGGCAGTGTGGCTAAACCAAGGCTGACAGGGGAGGGTGGCAGAGCCGAGCCGTCCCAGCCCTCTCAAACTCAGCACTTCCTGCAGGTGACAGCGATGGTCCATGCTGGAAAGCCAACCACCACATCTGCTTTTAGGGTATTTGTTATTTCCAAAAATCTGGAGCTGAGCACGTGTAACACTTTGGCCACTCCTGGGATGGAGGATACTGCCTCAGACTGGCTGAAGGCGCTGGCAGCCGGGTGTTGCTCCCTGACCCCCAGAGCCGCAGTGGGTCATTTTCTGCAGACTGCTCTCCACAATGAAACCCGACGTCAGCTGGGACTTCGACCACTGAATGTCAACTTGCCCCTCATTTTAATATTTGTGCAGCTTTTATTCCCGACAGCTGTCACTGGGGCGGCACCCAACACAGAACATCACACAAGGGCAAAGCTTCTGGAGTCCAATGGAAATGGCTCAAACCCAAGAGTTGCATTTGGTACCGAGGATTTTGAGAAAGTCACTTCCACTGTCACTGCTGTCTCTTCAGTCTCTAAGAGGTAGAGACAACCTCCTTATCAGGCTATTGTCTTCAGTAAAGCAGACAACAGTAAGCACAGGATGTATAATATATATAAATAACTAACACAGATAGGGTAATAATAAACAGTGCATACACCTTCTGGAAGAACTGCCAGGCACAGAGGAACACAGGGCATCCTGAACTTATGGCGGGTTACGTGCCCTCACACCCACCCCATGGTGAAAAAGTCATAAATCGAGAAAGTACTTTATACACCTAATCTACTGAACAGCACAGCTTAGCCTCGCCACCTTAATGTGCTCAGGACACTTGCATTCGCCTCCCATTAGCAATGGTTTGAATGGTTTTGCCCCTCCCCAAGTTTGTATGTGGACTCCCACCCCTAAGGGGAGAGTATTAAGATGTGGGGCCTTTGGGAGAGGCTTAGGCAGTGAGAACAGAGTCTTCTGGAATGGGGTGGGTAACCTTAGAGAAGAGGATCCTGCCTTCCACCAGGCCAGGACATAGGAGAACTTGGCCGTCTGCAGCTAGGAAGCAGGACTAGAACCAAAGCTAAACTCACCAGATTCAAACTATAGTGACACTCTGATCTTGGACTTCCCAGCCTCCAGAACCATGAGAAATAAATATCCATGGTTCATGAGCCACCCAGTTACGGTATTCTATGGCAACTTAGGAAAATGTTACTCTCTCTACTGCTTTTGTATCACTTTTCAAATGAAGTATCTCCAATTCGTTCCTCAATTCATACACAAAATAGGAGCTGAATGAATAAAACATCCACCAAAGAGTCCAGCAGTAAGGTCACGTAAGACATACCAGGGAAGGAGGTGTTGAATGAACTCAATGTGTTCCGGCAGATGCAGAGAAAGAGACTACAAATAACTACAGAAATATTAGCATGTGGGTGTACCCTAACACGGGGGTGCCCTAACACGGGGGTGCCACACTCCACAGCAGAGTTCGGGAAGGGCATACCGCCCTCCCAGGCAGGCACCGACTCTTTTGGGTGGCGTCTGACCTTCGAAGCTGTACAGGAGAGCTCAGCAAGAAGAGCCTAGAAGCCAAAGGAGTGAGGCAGGAGGAGCCCACTTCTTGCTGGCGGAGAACCCGGTGTGTTTCCGTGGATCATGTGGCGATGAACACAGACCTTTGGATAGGAAAGGTGGAGGCAGAGGAAGGCGTCTGCAGGGTGTTACAGCGACAGAATGGGCATGCACACAATATATCCATGAAATGACAACAGTCCTACATGGGTGGACGCTAGGACGACATCACTGGACACCTACTCTGTCAAGAACAGGGAGGGTAAGAAGAAAAACAGTGAGAGGCTTCATAGCAGGCTGGGCCAGAGTGTATGAATTCTTAAGAACTATGAATATCATTCTCTAAACAGAAGAGTAAGGCAGGTTTGGGGGCTTAGGTTTGGGGTTTCAGCGGCAGCAGATCAAAGTTGTAATGTCGGGAGGTCCATCTGGTTACTGAGCAGATGGGAAGCCTAGGGTAAGAGGAACAGGCCCCTAGAGGTGGGAATTGCAAGAATTCCTCTGTGCTGTGTTCCTCTGGTTTATCTTATCTAGAAGGAAGGTTGAATCCAGAAAGAAATAGGCAGTACCGGGGGTTTTTATTGCCAAGAGGCCGGTGTGCCTCAAAAAATCAAATGCATCATTAGATTTTCTGAGTTACTCAGCAATTCCATTCCTGCTCATGTATAAAGGATCTATGAAAACATAGGCCTCCACACAAAAGCTTGAACATGAACCTTCATAGTAACATTAGTTATAATCATTAAGAAGAGATTAGTGGATGGCCGCCAAGTGATGAATGGATAAGCAAAGTGCGGCATGCCTGTATACAGGAATATTACTGGGCAATGAAAAAGAATGCTATTTTGATACATTTGACAACATGGATTACTCTTGGAGACATTATGCTAAATGACAGAAACCAATGACAAAAGACAACATAGTATATGACTTCAACTAAATAAAGAGTTTGGGATAAACAAATCACAGAAATAGAAAGTAGCCCTGGGATAGGCAGGGAAGGTCCAGTCTAAGAATTCGGTTGAGGGGAGAGGTCAGGTCTGTTTGGATGTTCCTGGGTTTCCTTCTGAGGGGGTTGTGTTGTCAGCAAACAGTTTGCTCGTGTGGGAAAGTCCACAATTGTCCAGTCCACTTTTGACTGCAAGGTAAACCTCTTTATGGGAACAAAAAAGAGCGATGTGGCCACCTTTGATGGAACATTCTACAGTTCAGGACTAGCAGCAATAAAAGTGTTCCAGTCTCGCTGTGTGGCTTCAGAGCCTTATTCTGCAATTGGCTCCTCGCTCAGGAAGGTAAGAAATAGTTTAAATGAGAAGTCCTGCAAATCCCAAAATCAGCCAAAGGCGATGAGCCTCCATCCTATCCTCTTTTGTACAGAGTAGGAAATTAACCGAATTAGACAGATGTTAAGGACATATTTATCTGAAAGTGAGTTCCACCAACTCAAGATAATAAGAACCATTCAAAAGAACTTTTCCTCAATGTATGACTCAACGTTACCTAATTGTTATGTGTACCACATCGAAAATAGCCTTTTATACCAGTCACCATTATGCTTGCATTCTAGAGCACTGATTTAAGCCCACAAAGCCAGGTTTCTGCCTGGACAGGTCAAATTGGCTTCATATCTTAATAGAGAATGGGTCCCTCACAGCTTGCCTGGGTTAGAAGAACACGGCCATTGCTGCAGACATCAGGACTATTCCAGACAGACCAGACCACAGATTTTTTTAACAAAGGAGGAAGCGAGCACATGCCTCATCTTCAGCAGCGCCTGCAGACTTTGCTCTTAATGAGCAAAGCTCCTGCTGCTTCTGGTTTCCTTAACTGCTCCCCTGTTCCAGGTTGGGAGGCAATAAATATGGTAATACAAAGAGGCAAAGATGATTAAACCCCAGCTTTCTTTTGCCTTTCCTTTCTTATTTTGTCAGGAATGTGCCACAGCCCTTACCAGGCAATCCAGGGTCTGTTTTTATTAAAATATACAAGGACATTTGAGCTGAAATAATCCTTAATTATTAAGTTTACAATGGAATTGCAATTTCGGAAAGAGAAAGTGCCTGTGACAGCAACTTGAATGCTCAGTGAATGTTACACTTAGAGATTTAATAGAACTCACTGCAGAAAAACAGCAACCAGAGTGAGGGCTGTGAAGTAGGAGCTCTTAGTTTGGGGGAAGACAACGGGTCTTGATAATATGGAAAAACTTCAGGACAAGTTAGTATAATGTCAGAAGAGCCTACCATTGGGAGAACAGAACAACTGTCCAGAAACATTGAAAGGCTCCGTGTTGTAGTAAAAGTAGCACAGGTGATTGGGTAAGGCCGAATCAAGGCTGGCATCCCAGGAGCGTCACCTATACCCGTGTGACCTTGAACAAGCTATTTCATCTCTGTGAGCCTCAGTGTCCTCATCCATTCATGGGGATAACAGCATCTACTGTACTGAGTAAGGGTGAAGAAGTTCAAGTTCAATGGTCTATGCAATACTCAGCTTCTGAACTATATGGATTTTATCATAATCAAATTCCACAGATCTTCTACCTGCTTAAAGGTATTACCTGCCTGGCTATTTTTCCCCAGCTGTATTTAAGTATATTTGACAAATAAAAACTGCCACTTAAGGTATATTCTGTAAACATGTAAGGTGAAAGCTCTATACATGTGTATTGTGAGATAATCGCCGTGCTGAAGCTAATGAACATATCGATCATCTCTGGTTACTACTTCTGTCCTTTTCTTTCAGCCATGCTATTGTCTTTGGTCTCACTAGAACATGAATGTCCATTTGCTTTACACTCAGCATCTCAATAATACATACCAGGGTAGATGAAGATGATAATGAGAATATAGCCATTAAGAGATTACCTATGTGGTCACTCCAAAATGATGATTAGGAAACTACAATGAGATATCTCACACCAGTGAGAATGGCACATATTTAAAAAAAACAAGTAAAAATAAATGTTGCTAGGGTGTGGAGAAAAAACTGTTCTACATTGCTGGTAGGAATGCAAATTGGTGCAACCACTATGGAAAGCTGTGTGAGGTTTCTCAAACTGTTAAAGATGGAGCTTCCATATGATCCAGCAATTCCACTCCTAGGTATAAACCCAAAGGACAAAAAACCCAGTAATTTAAAAGGACCTCTGCACTCCTATGTTTATTGCTGCCCTACTTACAATGGGGAAGATGTGGAATCAACCTAACTGCACAAAAATAGATGACTGGATCAAGAAGATGTGGTACATATACACAATGGAATATTAATCAGCAATCAAAAAAGATAAACTCATGCGATTTGCAGCAACATGGATGGAGCTGGAAGGAAGGGATCATGCTTAGTGAAATAAGCCAGAAGGAAAAGAAAAATACCAGATGGTTTCACTCATAGCAGGAATGAAAGGGATCAGGGATGGGGGGAAAATTACATATATATTCTATACATATTAATATATATATTCTATAACATATATTGTATATAATATATGTGATATATAGTGTTCTATATCACATATATTATATTTATTATATATATTAATTGTAATAAAGTAAAAAAGAACACAACTAACAACTATAAACCAGACAGAGACATTCTACAGAGGAGGAAAAGGGAACAAGATCAAAACCAGAGCAGGAAGAGCACACGGGACCACAATGACGGCACAGGGCTGAAGTGATATCCACGGGGATTACAACTGAGTTGAAAAAAATGTACGAAATGAAGAATAATGTAAAAAAATGCATTCATAAATAATAAAATAAAACCCACATCATCTCTAAAAAAATATAATGCAAAACAAAAAGAAAGAATAATGATACTCAAAATGGTAACTGTTTTTTCCTGGTGACAAGCTCAGACTTTGAAGCAAAACTGACAGGGTTCAAACCCAGGTGTGCTTGTCATCTCTGTGACCCCCTGACTTCATTATACCCAGAGCCTCAGTCTGGGTCTGCGCCACCCCCAGAGACGACATACTTTAGTATCTGGTCGCTAGCAACAGAGCCTGCTGTAGGGAGAGAGCTGCGTTCTGATTTGCTAAATGATGAACACACTGACATATTTCAGATAGGTGACCCTGTCTGATACTCAAATCAGGGTTTGGTGACAGGCTGGAGAAAGAAACCAAAGCTTCAAGAAGTGCAGTGACCGCTCCAGAGTCGCCTGGCTCACAACCACAAGACCAGCGGCAGAACTTAGTTCTGTTCCTTTGTTTTATTCAAATCGTATGTTCCTCCCTTCACAATCTAAAAACTACTTCTAGATTAAATGCAAGCCTGAACCAGCAATCAGACAACTACAGGCAGATACTGGCACAAATACACTGTTTTTTGTTTGTTTTAATACTCTCATGCCTCCTTGTTCATCTTTTTATTTTATTTTTAATTTTTTTTTTAAAGATTTATTTATTTGTGCATACAGAACTGGGGTACAGGCCAGAGGCTCAGGGACGGTGAGAGGCTTCACCAGAGACGGAGTGGGGAACAGAACAGGCAGATGGATGAAGTACACTGCTGAGGGGAGCAGCGGGTGGGCCAGGAGAGGTCTGCCACACCATGTGGTCACCTCCGGGGCAGGCGGGAATCGAACTCATGTGGAAGCGGCTTTAGATTCTCAGTGATGTGCTTTAACCCGCTGCGCCACCAGGGAGGGCCCTTATTTTTAATTTTTTAATAATAGTTTACTTTTACATCATTTTGTGCCTTTTTCTATCTCAGTTGCAATCCCCATGGGCTTCCCATCACCAAATCACCCATGTGCCATCACCATAGTCCTGTGCATTCCGCCCCGCCCCATTTTTGATCCCATTCCCCCACTCCACCCCTGTAAAATGTCTCTGGTAATACAGTTGTTCATTATTATTTTTCCCCCCTGGCCCTTTATGCTCCTGCTAATGCGTGAAACCATCCAGTAACAAATATACTGTTTTATCCTTCCTGGTCTTTGGGGGCACAAGTGAAGTTAAAAAAAAAAAAAAATTCCAGCAGCTTGATATGCAAAGTCAGGGAAATAATCCAGCTTCTTCCTCGCGGCCAACAGGGTTGGAGAGCATGAGAGCAAGTAGATCATCTCACAAACACACAAACAAATATTAAATTTTTACAAGCTGGTCCACCTTCCTGCCCAGGAGGTAAACATTCAGCTACTAGATAATTTTTTCGTCTATTCACTACACTAACTGCTCGGTCTGCTGGTTTATTTGCAATGGAGTTGGAGTTACAGGCATCTCCCAGTCTTTCTGGAAACATCTGCCACGGGTGTGAACCAGACACCTAATGTGCTATTTGCTACTAGGTAAACCTTCACTCCTGAAGACTTCATACTGATTTTCCCGCATTCCCCTTTTTTCTCCATCAGGGTTGCCTGGTGAGGTGACAACAAATATATAGGGTAGAGTAACAAAAGCAAAATGACTCTCCAAACAGTATGCAAAAATCCACTTCACACAGATTTTCTGCCCTTCTTTTCCCCCACCGTGTGTGTGTGTGTGTGTGTGTGTGTGTGGTGTGTAGCTGAATATACTACTCAGCTGTTTTTGAATGGTGCTGCTACATACTTTCTATCATTTGTATAAATCATCTCTTCATTTGCCCAAGCCGTGATAGACTTTTCAAACCAGCTGTGCATGGTTTTCACTGAGGAGTTGCATGGTTGAGTCCTCTAGTTTTTCTGTACTACTGAAATTTTAACTAGAAGCAATATTTCAGCAAAGCTTTTTCCATAGTTAATATTATCCTTTTAAGACCCAGGGCCTAAAGCAGTTACACAGGATCAAGGTCTTGGACATCATGACTGTGAACTTCCTTTCTGAAAGGTCATGGCAATGTCGGCTCTGGCATCAGCCGGAGTACCTATCACTCACTCTTTGACTGTCTTTTAAAATCCGGTGTGCCCGTTATCCCCAGGCACACTGCAGAAGTAAAATTGATTTGATGTAACAAAGCAAGCCTTAAATGAAATTTCGCTGAAAATCTTGTCTGGAAAATAAATCTAATTACTGTAATTAACAGTGAAAGCCAAAAGAAGCATCCTGCACCACTATTATTATATTATTATTAACATTAGGAAGGTGCTTCATGTGTCAAAGTATTTTATAATCATGTATTAGTTAATCTCTGTAACGTGCTGTGGAAGCAATGAAGCTATTTATAGCTGGACTTTCTGAGCAGAGGAGAGTCTTTCAAAAGTCCTTTTGTCTTGCTATCACGATTCTTTATCACCAGCATATCAATGCGAAGAATCATTCTCATTTGTAGAGTTTCAGGGATGGGAGGGACTCCAGTGGTTATGTGGTCCAAGAAGATCAAGTAGTTACGGATGTGAAATTCAGGCTTTCAAAAGGCACAGGAAGAAATGCGCTATCTTCTCAAACCCCCTATGTCTTCGTGAAAATCAGCAGCTGATAAAAAAACCACTGCTATTTTTAAATGTAGCATCTTTGTTCCCCACAGTTACTGTAAGAGCAAAAGTTTATATTCAATAGGATTCTTACAGTTTCAACAACTGTTGGATTTACTGTACTTGGATTTAAATAGCACTGCAGTGGCAATAATATTTACACCCAATGATAACACCAGAATTTCTTATGACTTTAACATTTGCCATCATTGAGAAATAGCATCACTGAACATTTATAATTAAGCAAAGGCCCTTCTCTAAAAACCAGGCCTCTGCTTTTGTCAATCAGGGAGGGACCCCAGCTCCTCCGTGGAGACACACACAGAAGGCTGGGACCCTTCCTCTCATTCCAGGCTTACCCTGATAGCCAGGAGTAGATGAAGGTCACAGAACTCCAAAATAACTTGAAAAAAGCATGGGGCTGCGTGGCTGTGTGGAGCGGGCCTCTGGCTCGACTCAGAGCACGAGGGGAGCCCCACCTGGCCGCCCTCACCTGGCATTCCCATTGCATCAGTAGGCCCCGAGGGGGCCCAGATAGCAATCAGAATAGTGAGGACAGAGAAGAGCAGTCCCTTGAAAAAGAGCAGGCAGGAGCCGAGGCTGGAGTCCAGCTGGCTTGGGTGGGCAGGAGGAGAGGAATCTATGGCTCATGCGACTGGTTCGTGGGCATCCATGTGTATTGAGAGGGAACAGCTCCAGGTTGGAAAAGTTCAGTGGACATAGACAGGGCTTTCTAGTGGCCAGGCACACCCGGAGGCGGGCAGGCTCTCTCGGAGGAGAATAACCATCAATGCCAGCTGCCTGTTGCCACAGACACCACACGCTGGCACAAGATGCCAGGACTGGTGGCCTGTCTGAGAGGTGTGTCTCTCCACATGCGGGGGGTTGGCTTCTCCTGAGGTCTCTCTTCTGGGCTTGGAGATGGTCATCTTCTTCCGGGTCTTCCCATCATCTTCCCGGGGGACATCTCTGTCCTAATCGCCTCTTATAAGGATCAGGGTTCACCCGAGTGACCTCAGGTTGACTTAACCACCTCTTTAAAGGCTGTATCTTCACAGAGTCACATGTTGAGGTGCTAGGTGTTAAGACTCCCACAGACAGATTGGGGGGGGGGGTAGAACACAAGCTGCCATAACCCAACCTGGCATGAAGCACCTGAAAACCAAGAGGCCCTGTGATTCCAGCAAGGGACGTCGATGGAGGAATGGAAGCTTCAAATCTGAGATGTCCTTCAAGGTCCCTGCAGGCCCGAGAGCGACAATTCTAAATACGGCGAGACAGGGCCTAATGGCTGCAGCTAAATATTATTAACACAATAATCTCCCCAGGGTTTCAGACAAAAATTACATCTTCATGGCAGCTTAAATGATTGATGAGACGTTCTGCTCTCATCTGAACCCTCCCCATGGAGAGGCCCAGGCAGGCGTCTCCCGCCTGAGTCCGCCGAGGGCATCGGCCCCTTACCTGTGGAAGAGGACAGACTTGACCAAAGTGACCACATCCCGGCTCGCGTTGTACCCGGCACACACGATGGCCACGTGGATGGTCTGGGAAGGAAAGACAAGAGGACGGGCAGTCAGACAGATGGACGACGGCCTTCCTGGGCCGCAGACCCCACGGCAGAGAAAATGCGCCCGTTCCTGCTGGAATCATTATGGAACAAAGGGCAGACTCTGCAGCTGTGGAAAATAACTCGAGACTGTTTTATTAAGGTCTTTTTAATCGGTTTATGGAGCTATCATCATTTGGAGACCATTAAGGCTCTGTTCAATTACATTTGGGGGACGAGAGAAATGGCGACAGCTCAGATAGCAAACACGGTGTCCCCTGCCCCCAAGCTGGAGACAGTGGCAACTGGGCACGAGAGAGAAGAAAGGGGCACTGTGGAGACGAGGTGATGGCCGGGGCATCAGGCTGAGCTGTCCGGCTTGGAGCTGGGGGGGGGGGCAGGGGAGGTGGGAGAGGCCCAATTGGACCAGCGTGACACTGTTTCTCAGGTTAGGTCACCCTCAGGGACCCACGCACACCTCTGGGAGCCCCTGGGATGACGCCAAGAATGAAGACCTGCAGGACTGAAGGGGAACTCTGGGTCACCTCATCCGGGTCCCGGGCATGGGCCTCACACTCGAATTCTGGCACCGTCTTTCTACCCAGGGAGTCCCTGGGGAAGTGGGGGTGACCCTGCAACATGAGGGACAGTGTGCATATCCTTCGGGATGTCACAGGGCAAGCGAGGGGACGAGGCCAAGGGCGGGGTGGGGCTCAGTACGGTGTGCTCCCGTCACAGCAACACACCCTTGAGAGCCCTGCCCCCCAAACTGGGTGCCTCGGCGCTTCCCAAGTGGGGTGGCCTGGTGTCTGCGGGCTGTGTATGAAAGACAGGGGATGATGACACTCATCTCCAGGGCCCCAGAGCCACCAGGCAAGGCTGATGCCCTGCCAGCCTGGCTGTCCTCTGCTGCTAGCAACTCTCCTCTTGCCTCCTCGCCATCCGATTTCAGCTCCTCCAAGGCTCCCCCACGCCACCCTCACTCCCCCCACCCTCTTACTGGGAGTCAACAGCCTCTCCATCCAGCTATAAGAGTGGGGGCTCCGCCTCTCTATGAGGGGTATGAGGGCGACTCACAACTTTCTTTGAATTGAAACTCACCCCCTATCCACCGCAGCGTGTCCTGGGCTCTTGCAGAGCAAGTCTCTTCCCAGCCCAGTGCTGGCGGCGGGGGCAGGCTCCTTCCTTCCCTGCCAGGGCAACCTGCTTGGCCCATCCCAGTGTGCTGCCTCATGCAGGGGCTCCCACTCTGGCTTTCAGGACAAGGAGCCCTGGGTCAGGGAGCACCCAGCCCGCTGACATCGCCAAGCGAGGTTTAACCACCCCGTCCACCAGCGCCCACTGTCCTTCCAGGACCTCAGCCCGTCTGATAACTAGCTCTGCTCTCTGGACGACCTCAGCTTCATCTGGATCTTTGTTTCCTTGGAAATCCTGCAAGCGCGGGCTTGCCCAGTCCTGCAGATTCTCGGAGCCTCACGCCCACTGCCCGACTCCTTGTCCTCGTGGGGTCCCGGGCCCCCTCACAGGTCCCACCTTGCCTGGATCCGCACTGTTCCCCTGTACCTCCTTCCCCTGCACTCTCAGCTCCTTCCAAGCTCAGCCCTCACTCCCAGCAGTGAGACCCCAGCTGGAGCTGCAGTGACTCTGCATCTCGGCTTTGAACCTGGGGATCAAGCGGGAAGCAGAAGGGAGATGAAAGGAATGAGAAGCATTCCAAGTGCTAATATTTACAGAGCAAATGACTACCTTCCATGTACCCAGGTGGTACCATGCTTTACCCTCCACCTGCATGAACAGATGGAGGCCTCACGGCTGTGTGGGACAGGGACAGGGTCATTATTTCCCTCTGACAGTTCAGGAAATGCAGGCACAGAGAGATGGGACAGGAAATCTGCAGCTGTTTCTTCATGTAAGTTTCCGGTAGTAGGTCAGGTACAGAGAGAGAAGCTAGCCCCGCCTCAGGCCATCAGTTCAGGTTCTCCTGTGTAGGAACTTCCCCGAGTCTGTGGGAGGCCAAGGGAGTTCAGTCCCCTTGGGATGCTAGTGACATCCCTTGTGGTGTCACTTCCAGAGTGTGGACAGGACACCTGGTCTCAAGCAGGTGGGGGTCAGGGGTGCTGTCAGCATGCTACGGACTCAGCACTGTCCAGTTTCCCTAAAAATGCAATAGTCCTGGGCTCTCCCTGGTGGTGCAACAGGTTAAAGCACTGTACTATGAAGCTCTCCGAAGCCACTGCAGCACGAGTTCAATCCCCGGCTAGGGAGCTGACCCACATGGCGCGGCAGACCTCTGCTGACCCCTCTTTGCTCCCCTCAGCAGTGTACTTTGTCCATCTGCCTGTTCTGCTCTCCACTCTGTCTCTGGTGAAGCTTCTCACCATCCCTGCACCTCTGGCCTGTACCCCAGTTCTATAAGCATAAATAAATAAATCTTTCAAAATAATGTCACAGTCCGGTTCTCCTAAAAGTGGCACAGGGTAGTTCTCCCCAAAATGTCACAGGCTAGCCCCCTAATAGAGAACTACCGTCCCTGAAGCAAGGGTGTTGCTGGGAGCAAGTCCTGCTTTTCAGCAGGGGCAAGGGAAGTTCACGGGGCACCAAAGCACCTCACTCAGCCAAACTTCCACATGTCTTACTTTCCCCACCTGGACAACGAAGACACCATGCTAACCTCTGGCGAACGTCTCTAAAAGACACAAGATAAAAGGTTCTGCCGGGATGCAACAGCCACCATTAGATCAAGAAGGCAAGAACGGGAAAGCGCCCGCACGCAGATGGGCCTCCCAGCCACATCGAGAGCCCCAAAATCTCGATGCGTGGGGCTCTTCTGCAGGGCAAATATTTGTATCTGCAGCCTCCGTGATATCAAAATTTTGTCTTGGCTTCAGGGTTCAGGGACTTTTTAAAACGCGCCCATTAAACGTAAGCACAAGTGCGCACATTCTCAAACACTGTACATAATTTCCCAATCTCTTTGGTTTCATCCCATACACCTGCCACCATGAATAAATTCATCACCGGGAGCCGTGGCTGTGGGCCCTGCCTCTCAGGAAAGCAGAAAATCGGGGTGGCATTGACAAGGCTCTTGAAGACCTTTGGGATCCAGATGTCACGGTCCAGAAGAGACAGACAGGCAGGGGCCCCCAGTGGGGCAGGAATGAGATAAGGGGGGGCGGGAGGCAGGGAGGCATGTTCCAGCTGTGAACCCCAGTGCTAGGACAGGAGTGGGGGAGACAGGTCTCCTCAAGGACAGATGCTGTGCAGTGGGGGAGAAGCACTTGGAGGGAACAGAAGTAGGGAGAGTTTAGTGGCAAAAACCCAACCAGAGAAAAGCGATCCGGGCTTAAGCAGCAACTTCAAAGCCAAGTTTTGTGACCTTGGAGCAGTCGCTTTACCTCCCTGCACCTCAGTGTGGCTGACAGTGGGCAGCATCTTATGGGCTGCGTGAGGATCAGACCAGCCAGCCCAGGACGGTGCGCTGAGAACAGATGTGATTCGTGTCTGCAACAGGCAAGATCACCTAAGGAGACTCGGCTTAACGCCTCCTGCGTTATCTTCCGACGGGGCAGAAGACGAGGCACCTGCCAGATGGTCGAGGATGCTGAGTAAGTGGCTCTCAAGCTCCAAGAGGCATCAGGATCCTGGAGACTGAGCCCGTAAGGTGAGGGTCAGGCCCTTCCTAGGGTTTCTGACACATGGCCCGAGGTCTGGTCTGCATCCAGGTGAGCCAAGGCTATAGGTCCAGGGACCCCACCTGACTCCCTGCCTGGTTGGCAGTGCTGGGAAGAGTCTGGTAGAGACTCACACCTGTGTGTGCTGAGGTTATGTTGAGAGAGGGCGAGGGGCGTTCACTGAATCTGTTTGCAATACCTCTCCACCGAGGAGCTCCACGTCCCTCCACGTCCTTGTCTAAAACAAGCAGAGGCAGCCTCTTCCTCTGGCCAATCACCCTCCGAGATGTGGGGGGGAGAGCGACAGGCAAAGGGGAACATGGAATGCAGCTTTCACCATGCAAGGAACACATCCCTGAAATCTGAAGAGGCAGGGGGTGGCCCCAGCTCTGTCTCTGGCCAGCTAAGTGACCTGGACAACATACTTCACCTCTCTGAAGCGCAAAAGGTCCGCTATCAAAGGAGAGGCTTAGGATTCCTACCTTGGAGCCCAACATCTAAGGTTGCCTCAGATCCCATGGCTCAGCCAGTCAGTAGCAAAGCAAGAGGTTAAGTTCAGCTTTTAAATCCATCCTGCCCCTCCTTACTAAAACACACATGTCACCATTAAAATTCAAAACGTCTTGTTAATGTGCCGTCTAAAATCATCTTACAAACCTCCGGGGCACTGCTACTTTCTTGAGAAATCACTGATCATATTCTAAATTATGCGCACTAAATATTGAACCATGGACCCCAAGACAAAGTTATTTCAGTCCGACAGAAACCGAAGTAGATGCCCCATCACTGCAGTGGAAGCCAGGACGTCAAGACGTGGGCAAGAAGGAGAAGCCGCAGAGGCCACAAGCCCAGAGTGAGGATGGGCAGCGCCTGTCCGCGCCCCCCACTCCCACCCCAAGCGCCTCCCCAGCTTATACCAGCTCTGCTCAGGACCCAGGCCCCTCATTATAGGAGAGGGGTAATATCAACTTACAGGGATAGTGGACGGAAAAACCGGCAGAGCTAAAAACAAACAGCGCGTAGAGCCTGGCATCCTTAAGTAGTAGATATGTATCAGAAATCACTACTATTAATTATTAATTACTATAATTATTACTACCACTACTACAAGGAGTTTTCGCTATGCCTTGACCTTCGGTATTCTCCAAAGTCAGGCCTCCCATTCGTTCCTTCTGTCTTATTGCCACTCTCCCCTTACAGATGGGACTGAGCTCATATTTCGCTCTGGATAAAATGAAGGCTTTCAGCGCTCCGAAATCCCTGTGCTCGATTAAATGTTGGTGCTGCCTTTGTCCTCTACTCATAAAGAGGGCAGAAGACAAAGGGT